AACATCAAGAAGAATAGAATACTTCATTTGAAGTGGTAGCTCTTCTCTCTCCAGACATTGTGTGAGTGATAAAGGAAGATACTCCATTACTAACATTGGTAATTGTGAACGAGGAGGATAATAGACACCAATTAACTGGACAATGTTAGGATGCCTTTGCTGACTGTGAAGAAGCACCTCATCACCAAACCTTCTCAAAGTGTTCTCCTAAAGAAATGATTGAAGTAACACTACTTACAAGTAAATTATAAACTCCTTTACCTGTACAATAGCATCATGAAGCTTCTTAGCAGCACAGGTTGTTTCATTAACTATTACTTCAGTAACAACACCATAAGCTCCACGACCTAACTCTTTACCAGTCTCCTTTAAATCAGGCAATAGTAATGGCTCAACTTGAGCCCTATCCATTTTTTGCAAACACAGAGAGTAACATTATAGCAGGAAATAGTCCTCTTTAGCTACAATAACTGCTGAGTGCTGACTGTGCAATTTGCACTATTTTCAATCATCTAGAGGCTATAGTGTGTCTGTGATATTTGTGACACAAATATCTAATGCAACTGCATGTGAATAGTAAAACATAAAAAGAAAAGGAAAAAGCAAAAAAGTATGGAAAAAACAATGACATTGAAAAAGGGAAAAAGTTGCTTTGAGAATAACAACAACAATAAAATAACAAAAATTAATAAAATAATAATAATGATATGATAACAATAGCTAAAGAGCACTCACTTTGCTACCAGGGGATAGCAATGACCCATTGTCATCATTTGGCATATACGTTTTTAATGCACTCGCCATTTCAACAGTACTACTGATCAACAGACCACCACTACTCTGGGACGGTGGTGAGCTAGCGGGCATGGCAGTGGCTACTATACTAGTGGTATAATTCCATGGACAAGCATTAGTCAAGAGAGAGAGAGTGTATGTGAAGTAACAGCACAGTGTTGATCAAATAATGTAGTCTATTATAGCTTCGTTATGACTTTTCTTCAAAAAATAAGGTATTCTTTAAAAATAGCTAAGAATTCTAACTAAAGAAGTTTGAGTCTCAAAGCAAAAAAGAAACAAGCTAAAAATTAATTTTCCAATTTCTATAGCTGGTTAGTTATAATTATTGCATCAAATTGCTTAACAGAATGATTATATGAATGTATGTCACTATTCAACATAAGTATAGTTACTAGTTACACATAGGAATTTGCAGTAGTGCCTAGCTCAGTAGTGACAAGTGCTGCAAGTACAGATATGATATAAGTGATAGTGTAGGGTATGAATAGTGATACTATTGTGATAGGAATAGACTGAACAATGGTTAATTGGTCACCACAAAATATGACAACAAAATGTATTTTACACATAATAGGTTGTGTATGTTTATTATTCATATTTATTGTTAGTTATTAATTATTATGGTTATGTGGGGCTCCTTTTTCTATTTCTATTTATATTGTTATTAACATTATAAATTATGCACAAGAACTTTTAGTTCTGTCATCATTGCTGTATGCACATGCACACTCATGGTATTTCTCACTATCTGTCTCTTTCATTTGATTTTAAAAGAACAGTGTTTGGTTACTTTGTTGCCATGTATGCAGTCTTCTAGCCTCTCTTGTAAGTTACTACCACATTATATTATATTATATACAACAACAATTAACATAAATGCAAGAGACCACGCACAATTTGAAGGAGAAAAGATATAAGAGTGGAAGAGAAAAATATGAAATACAAGGACATAAAAAATTAATTATTATTAAGGTCTACTGCATCACTATAGTCCCCTACCATGGCTTTGAGAGAATCAGAGAGACCTGAAAATAATGGCCGATCTTTAGGATACTAAATAAGTGTATGTACAGAGAATGAGTGTAAATTACTGATTCATAGTATGCTCATACATGCTCAACTAATGAAGTCTATATGATAGAATAGATTTGAGATAATTATGATATTGCATGTGCACATCTATATAAATACTAAAAGTATTGTTTTGGCAAAACTAAAAATGTAGTGTACTTTTAGTTTGGACACTTAAAATAAATTTTAATAAGTAACTTAAAGAATCATACTAATAATGTATGCAGAAACTAACTAGAATTTTGAGTATAATTCAGTCAAAACCATGCACTGGCCTATGCACATGTATATGATCAATGTCCTAATACTGTGCAGAAAGTTTTAGCCAATTTAGATGATAATTTTAAAAAGCCAAAATGGTATTAAAAAGACAATCTTATTATTATTATTATTATACTATAATTGGGGCGAGCAAAAGCGAGCCCCACATAGTCGAGTCGAGTATGTCTGTCTGTTTGTTTGTTTGTACACGTACGTCACCCCTATTTATGCGTCTATAAAAATATTAATCACACATTTTAAAATGATAATTTTGATAATTACGGTACCACGTGCAAAAACAAAGAGCAACTTCAGCGAGAGGAGTTTGAGAGTATTCAAAAACAAGAGAAGAAGATGCTCGTGAAGCTTGTCGACTTCTTCGTAACGAGCGTGAGAAGGAGCAAGACTGAGGAGGAGAAAAGAACAAGGAGGTCCAATAGAAATGCTAGAGATAGGTCTTGTCGCACCCAAAGACAACAAATGGAGTCTCCTTCTGGCTTCTGAGACCAACTATCTTCCATTCTAGATCTATATAAATGCAGAGATTCTTCACTCAAAGCTAGAAGCTATGAAATTCCTTCCATGCAAATTTTGCATTAGTGTATTGACATCAACATTCAACATTTAATAGCCACTACATCATTGTCTATAAAGACATTGTATATTGCTAATTGAAATGTTAATCGTTTTGCTCGCCCCTT